TGTATAGCGGGGGTTCGACTTCGGCCCTGACCTCGTCCCGGGGCCGTATTTCGAATGTTAAAAGAAAAGACACGAAAAAAAAAACGGAAAAGGTAGTAGACGTCATGCGGACGGATCGATCCGATGCCCAGAAATTTCCTGCGCTTTTGTGTTCGTATCGATGAGGACGAGGAGGTGAAAAAATAAAAGTTCATTCATCCCCAATGACCTTTTGAAAGCTACTGTATGAAAAATGACATGGAACTAGGTCGAATTTAAATTCAATACAGTAAACTTCAAGAGTAGGATTCTTTAATTAAATCAATCAAGAGAACCCAACTAATATTCTGCTTTGGTTTATTTTTGCGAAAAATTAATTTCATGATTTTTTGGCGAAATTTTGCCATTTTTGGCGAAAGCCGAAGTTGGTGGAGGATGAGAATTTTTAAAGTTGGAAAGAAATGAGATCTTTGAACTACGAAAAAATGTAAAATAAACAAATAAATGCCTAAATTACGCAATAATAAAATTCCTTCGGAAGATAAAAAATCAAGTTCAAAATTGAATCATAGTTTCAAACTTTAGTACAATGAACCCAATCCAGCGAACCAAATTGATATTTTGGTTCATAATTTGAAAAGAAGACACGGCACCATATTTAATTCAAGCAACGATTAAAATTGTAAAATGATCCAAAATTTAAAGTCAAAAAGCCTATTTGTCGAACTGAGTGAAGGGATATTTTATGCAACAACAGAATTCCTCTCGAAAATCGACACGATTTAATTGATAAAAGAAATTCGTCTGCATCATAGTAAAATTCCGTTACAGCGAATTTTTTCTCAGGTCCCTGCTGGAAGTTCATTGTGACAAAATTTTACCGCAGTACCAAAAGCTGTACCACACTAAATTCATCTCACAAAATCCAACAGCGTTTTCAAAAAAGAAAGTGGAGAGAAGAGAAGTTAACAAATAAAAGGATACACCGAAAATAAATTTTCGACAACACACGCTTGACAAAGGAGTCGCAATTTATTAATGTTCGTACGGGTCGATTTGACGGCATGCGTACGTCATGAAATGCGTCACTTATTTCCTGTTGCCTTCTCGACGAAAACGTCCGAACAAGAAGAAATCAATAATCCATTTGAAGTCCATCACTCAATTGATTAGACTCTATTTGCGCCGCTTATCTCGAGAAAATAACCCACGAAAAACCAAGCTTCCGAGCAATGAAATGAATCCAAATGAAAATTATTTAAAAAAAATTGTGTGCATTACGAATCGACAGCAATATTTATTTTACAGGCAGGAACAATTTTTTAACCAAAATTTTGATCACTAAATTTCAATGCACATAACTCTCAACACAGACACATGTTTTATTCACATGATGCAGTAATTCGGAAATATTATTTGATGTTCGACTTATTGTAAAAAGTTTGGATGAAATCAAGAATTCAGCAAGGAAAAGCTACGCCATTTTGATTTAGCTGAAGTGAAAATAATCGGCCGAAGTCACTGTAGTATTTTACCTATTTCGTTGTGTTTGCATAAAATTTGAGTTCTCAAGTTTTATCAAAATATTTTTTGCCGATTGAAAGGGTTAATCAGGAAGTTCGCACGATTTATACTAAGAAAAGATAATCAAGTAAACATATTTCCCCGGGGTAAAATTATTTAAAGAAAATTAATTTTCGCGTCTTAAAACTTCAACCAAAAATTCATTTGGTGCATTTCAGTTTTATCTCGTTTGAAACTCATATTTCTTTAATTTACACTCGTTATTCACAATGAATTGAACATGCATTCCGAAATACATTTTCAAAGAATCAAATCATTCGTCTCGGCACATTCACACAAGGATTTCTGATGCATAGAACAAACATTCCATACGAAAAATAACTCGAGCAGAAAATCGTGTATCTTTTGCAATAAAGTCATATTTTACAAAATTTTTAAAATGTGCCTTCAGATAAAAACTGCACCAAACAAAAAAAAAAGTTTAAGAAGTCTAAAAGCAGCTGCGTCTTTAGGAACTTATTTTTAAGGTTCTTTTTTTTCAGCAGCTAAAGAAACCGGTTTCGCAAATCATCTAACAACGCAATAACGCTTTTGAATACGATTATCCCTTCAGGACAAAGCTTATCATTGCACACAGGCCTAGAAATACACACTCTTTCTGAGCTTGAGCAGAAACCCAAGGGGAAACAGCTGACATCAGCACATTCTATTCAAAAAAAATTTGGTCCATCGCCAGAAGCAAGTCGTGTTAGCAACAGGAAGTAACTTCCTTCTGCATAATAAAAAATTCTGCCAATTTCCGTGAAGTAATTCGACCTGTTTTCCATCAGTACCAAAAAAAAAACGTGACCTTCGGTGGCTCAAATGTAGGGAAACACCCCAAAAAAAATATCCCGGCTTTCAAATAAAAAATAATAATAAATAGCGGAAGAATATTTTCTTCCCGGAAAAGAAGAAGAAGAAGAAAGTGCGACGATGCCATCGAGTGTCCTTCGATTTATCTTGTTTTTCGCGTGCAGTTTTCAATTAGCACCAGCACTTTTCAACGTGACGGACACGTTTTCTGCCCCGAGAGACAACCCGAATGTCACCAGCCAAGGACAACCCAGAGGTTTGAAATTTCAAGCCCTAAAAAAATAAAAATGAAAACCTTCGGTCTTCTCATTCATCAAAGACGTTTTTAATTGCATCAAGTTTCAGCTGAAGGGGACATTCCGGTTCAGGCCCTGAATGGAACAACTGAGACGGGTTCGAAGTTGAGCGGGGACTCGAAAATCGACGCTGTGGAGGCGAGCAAAAAGGATTTCATTGATGACATCAATGACATCAGCAGAAGGATTTTAGCACTAGAGGATGCTGGGGCTTTTGCTATTATCGTGAGCGGAATTTCTTTTT